CATGCCTGGATTGATCGAGTTAAAACTTCACACACACAAAGTACATCATGTCATAAATATGTATGTGCATTTGTTTCATGATCTCATTAACGATAACCAAATGGCGGCCGCTTTAAGGCCGAGAATGCATTGAAATCACACATTTTCACCATTCCGGACCCGGATCTCAGTTATGCATGGACGGATTTTGTTCAAATTTAGTACATACATTAAACATAATAGGACCTTGATGCACGCCATTTTTCCGGATCTAGTTCAAAATGGTCGATTGCCGTTCATTTTGTTTTAAAGAATTCAGTTCTGGGTCCGTATCCGAGACATGTCAGGATTGATCAAGTTCAAACTTCACACAAAAATAGATATGTGCATTTGTTTCATGATCCGCTTAACAACAGCTGAATGATGGCCATTTTAAGGCCGAAAATGCATCAAAATCATGTATTTTCACAATTCCGGAACCGGATCTCAGTCATGCATGGATGGATTTTGTTCAGATTTAGTACAATGTGTTGTACATATGCAGGTGCACTTTCAGTGGCCTGAGATTTCGGTCATGATCTGCTTTGAATGTATACAACTGTATGTCACTCAAATATGAACGGAACGGGGACGTGTCATTGACAGTGACTTGTTCATTTCATTTTGAGAGTACTAGATATTCCTCTCCCTTATAAAAAAAATATCTATACTGTAACTGACCTCCAAGAACAAACAAAGCCAACGAACTCTGTGAGTGTCTATAGATTAATTTAGAAGACCTTTTTGCTACATTTGATGGTATTTATTGGTCAGGGGATGATACAGATTTGCAAAGTGTGAATGCATCTTTAATAATACAGCTATATTGTAATTGTTCAGTGCAAGTCTTTATAGAGCTGACTAACTACTAAATGGGAGATTGTTCAGCTTAACAATTATTGCATGTTTTTGTTTATGTGTAACAGTATGTAATACTAAGTGCATTTAGAGTTTGCAAGTGGAATTGAAAGTGTAACATTGTCTGTGTACATAATTTGAATCCTATCTAGGTCGGTGTAATACAATTAATATTATTGTATGTTTTTATTTATTTATTTTCAGCAATTTGAACTTGTAATAGAAGCAATGGAACAAGGCAAACCTATTGATCTGAGTAATATACCACCACCACCTCCTTCACAGAAAGGTTTGCATTGACTTTATATATATATATACAGGGCTCGAAATTAACTTTTTTTTCTGGTAGTCCATCTGGGCTACCACTTTTTAAATCTGGTAGCCCAAGATCAATCACTGGTACCCCAATATTTTTAAAGCAGTATTTATGCCGTAAAAGTAAAAAAGAATATTTTTAATATAAACAAATGTCATGTTCAGTACATTATTTTGACAGGTAGATAATGTTTTATATGTACCGGTACTAATTTTCTTTAGACAGAAGAACCTAACTGAAATACAGAGTTCATGTTTTATAGTTTCACTGCTTTCACTCATTGTGCATTGTGAAATACTGCAAATTCTAAGTTTAAAGTTTTAATGTTACAGTATTCAATTTTATTGTCACAAAACTTAAATTGCCACACAAAAATTATCTTGATTGTACCGTATAATACCTCATATAGGCGCCACTTTGATACATTTTCATTTCTGTTTGGCGCTAATATGAGGTCACATTTTGACAACTTTATTGCAAATGGCGCTTAATTGAACTAA